TTTAAGTTTTCGGGAAAGTAAATTTTTTTTATATATTAATTATGTTCCTTTAGGAGGCATTTGATAGAGAGAAATTTTTAGTTAAAAAAAAATTAGATTGGAAATACTAGTTTCCTATCTATTTAAAAAAAAAATTCTTAGAAATATTGTTTTCTAAAAAAATATTTTTATCCTACTTTCCGATACGAGGGGGGTTGAAAATTTAACTATCGAGACTTATAGGAAAATTTTAATTATATAAAAAAATTACAATATCTCTTTTTGAAATAAAAATTATATAATTAAGTTTTATCTTTTCAAATATCTTTTTTTGCTCTCTTTCTCTTTTCTCTCTTATTTCTCTCTCTTCTCTCTCTCTCTCTCCCTCCCTACCTCCCCAGTCCCCTCTCTCTTTTATATCTCATTATTTTTTAACCTTATCAATTTTAATAATATTATTAAGGTATGTCTTGTTTTTATAATTTAATACTACTTGTTAAAATTTTCTTTTTTATTTGTATTTTTTTAAAATGAAATAAAATAATATATTTTTTTATCTTTCTTAATTATAAGGTAACATTTTTCTTTATTTATTTTTTTTGTTGAATTTTTTATTTAAATAATTTTAACTGCAAATTTTCATCTTTTTCAAATAGATTAAGAGTATTATAAATACAAATATTATTATATAAGAACTTGTTTATATATGTAATCAATTTTTTTAAATTTTTTTAAAAGTAATTAGATCTTAAAAAAATTAATTTTATATTTACTAGAGGGACCGAGACACTTCGTACCTCCAATAGTTACTTAAAGACAAATATTAAAATTTGCAGATAGTTGTTTAAAAAGAATATAAGAATTTTTTTTTTTTTTTTTTTACATTTTAAGGGATAATGGTCAACTAAAAAGTGGAGACCAAAGGGATAATTATTAAAATTAATGTATCCCCTTTATAATAAGTATATATTTATTATTTTTTAAAAGTAATTAGATCTTTTAAAAAAATTAATTTTATATTTACTAGAGAGATCGAGGCACTTCGTGCCTCTAATAATTATACACAAACAAATATTAAAATTTATATATAATTATTTAGAAAGAATATAAGAAGATTTTTTTTTTATATTTTAAGAGATATAATGGTCCACTAAAAAGT